TTTTGTTACAAATTGAAATTAAGTTCTTTCCATTAAAAAAAAAAAAAGTCAAACGAATGCTCGAGAGTAACTGGATTTCGTACGTTCGTCGCTTACCGACGGTACTCAGTGTCCGACGGGTTGCTGTACGCTGACCTATTCAACCTTCTCTTTCGCGCATAATTTCTTCGAAACGTGTTTTTTTTTCTCGCACAAGTTGGCTTTCGGAGCACAACCTGTCGAACGTGTTGGAGTTGATCAGCGAGTAGTAACGTAAGTTTCCACAACTTTATTTTACAGTTGGATGCGAAGAAGAGTCCGTTAGCTTTATTGGCTCAAACATGCAGTCAGATCGGTGCCGATTCGCCGACAAAGCCTTTGATCTCTCCGCTGGATAAAGCACCGAAGAGCATGAATAACGGTACGAACGCCAAGTCTCCGCCAGCCGCGAAGTTGGAACGGAGCACACGCAGCAGCCCGTCGGACGGGAAATCGTTGGCATTCAAGCCATACGAGGCAAACGTCGTTTCGAAGAAACCGGCCGACGAGAGTAGGCCTGCGTCTAAAGCGAGTGTTCACAGTGTCAGTGGTCAGGAGAGTGTCAGTGTAAGTGAGATTACCACCGGCCACGCCGAGAAGAAGCCATCGGGTAATCGGACGCCCGTCGGCCGGAAGTCGGCCTCGCCATCGAGCCAAGCGACGGCGACCGCGAGCACCACACCGTCCACCGATCGGAAGACACCGGCCGATCGGGAGAAGACCGACGGATCACCCCGTAACAATAACAATAACAACAACAACAACAACAACGGCACCAGCCCGATCATCCGATCGGGCATGGAGATTCTATCCGGCAGTCACGCGAAGGAATCGAACCTCGGCGCGTACAAGCCTGGCCTTCCGGGATTTTCTGGCAATCCGCTCTGTTGTCCGCCCGGTTTGGCCGAAAATCCAGCGTTCAGACCTCCGTTCGCCGGCGCCTCGCCTTTCTCCCATCATCACGCCGCAGCGGCCGCTCTTCTCGGTTATCCGTCGAGCACCCCGACAGGTGGAAACCCGTATCTGAGCTACGCTCGCGTGAAGACACCGGCCGGCGGAGAGGCTTTGGTACCAGTGTGCAAGGATCCTTACTGCACCGGTTGCCAGTACAACATGCACAGCGCGCAGCTGATGATGAGCACCGGGGCATGCCCGAGCGGTTGCACGCAGTGCGATCATCAGAAGTACGGTTTAGCGATGGCGTTGTCGTCGTTCGGCCCTATGGCCCCACCGTCGCTCTCCTACCCGTCCACGTTGACCGGCGGCAGGCCGTACGTCTGCAACTGGATCTCCGGCGATTCTTACTGCGGGAAACGGTTCACCACGTCGGAGGAGCTTCTTCAGCACCTTCGTAGCCACACGAGCCTCACCGGCGGCGATCACGCGTCGTCCTCGGCCGCTCTGCTCACCAATCCTCACCCGCATCCGTTGCTCTCGCCGTCGGCGGCTCTGCATCGCGCGAGCGGCGGTTCTTACCCGACGCCGTCGCTCAGCCCGTTGAGCGCCAGATATCATCCGTACGGAAAACCGCCGACGGGGCCTCTTCCGGCGTCGCTCGCCGCGTCGCCTTACAGCGCTTTTAACGCGTTAGGCCCGTATTACTCGCCGTACGCGATCTATGGCCAGCGAATCGGCGCCGCTGTACATCCCTAGACTACTGCTGCTGACGGTGTGTGAAACACTTCCGGTGTGTAAACATTCTCAGTGTACAGTTGACGAGTATATATATATATATATATATATATATACGTATATATATAGTGTAAAATAGAGAAAGATTGTCAAGAACGAATTCTTCCTTCTGACAAGCTGTTGTGTAAATAATTGAACGTGTATGATATAAATTTATTTAAAAAAAAAGATACCTATATATATATATATAAATATAAATATATATATATATATATATATATATATACATAGATGTGTGTATAAATTCAAGATTACGATATTAAAGTTTGTAAGAGATATCTCGTGACTTTCGTCGGAATACATCCGTATTAACGTTTATCTCCTGACGTTTTTTGATCATTACGTAGGGAAGAGCATGTACACCGCGGGCGAAGAACATTTCGCAGAATCTTTTCGATACTTCGTTATGGGAAAGATGGTCTCGGTAATTTTTGTGTGCTGATCATTCGTTTTCCACGTTCAACGGGGATACGTAACACGTCCGCTTGTTTCTCGATTGTGTTTCAAAGTGATATATACGATCGGCGGTCGTACGAAAAAAGTAAAAAACAGTGTGTCTGTGGTCGCCGGATGTACACCCATCGATAACTGTTTTCTTCTACGACGAGAGTGTGTTCGACGACGTAAGAGAGCCCGTTCTTTTTGAAACGGTTGTGCATGTTCTAATGTCCACAATGTAACTGTGATATTACGCTATTTTTTCGACGAGAAATACAATAGGAGATAATATTAAAAAACGATGGTATCTAAACTATAATCTATGGTTCAAGTGTATCGTCTAATTTATTCGTATCGTTTGTATGAGAGCGAGAGGATTGTAAAAGTGATGGCTGCCTAGTGGAAAAAGGAACGTGGCTGATATGATTTCCCTCGGAGTTTTTCACCAAACGCGATCCGTTCCCGTAAACGGGGAGGGGATCGTTCGTTAACGATATTTTATTCAGAAACACACATTGGATTTTCATTCTTTGTTTTATGCAAAGTGCTCCGATCGAAGGGACAACAATGTACGATAGCCATTATTTGCACTGTAAATATCTCTTGTAAATATCGTTGAGTTTCCATACCGCTTTAATAAAAACAATGTTTGTGAAATCATTAAATCCATCATTTTATTCGTTCGTGATTTGCGTCTTTGAATTTCGATGCGATTTCGAATCTACTTCACCAGGGGTTGCTACGTTTTCTCGTAGATTTTCGTCGATCAATTCCCGATCAAACTACAGTTAATCGCAAATTTACGCGACAGTAATCATGCTCTCGCAATAGTCGGAGTTCGTCGACTCTGATTTCATTGGCAGTTTCGGTCAAAAAAACGAGCACACGTCAAGGGGGTTGCAAAAGTTGAAGAAACGAGTGAGAGAGAGAGAGGAGAGACAGCAGGTAGCGACGAGGAAGACCACCCCGATATCCCCATGCTTCTGATTCGCGCCACCAGGGTGCTCGTTGTTCACGTGCGCGCACGAATGCGGCGAGTCTCAATCCCCGGGGTACCCAGGAGAGTAAATTTATTTCTTTCATTACGGACGGAGCAGGTCGCGAGTTCTCGGATATCAGCGGTGCAAGGCGGGGCGCATAAATCTGCAGCCTAGTGTCGGAAGGAGGTGGAAAGGGGAAGAGGAAGAGGGGAGTTGGAAAATACGGAAAGGGCGAGTGGCGGTGTGTGGGGGTGGTTGGAAGGTTTTTAGAGCCCCGACGCGGAGGGGGGAAGACTTGCTTTACCCTCGGCGAACGTCGTTTCCATCGCCAGGGTGCCACGACAGGCGGTGGCAGGCTCAGCTGGCTCAGCAAAGTGAAATATTCGGTGATTTTAACCGTCCGGACGAATAGTTTCCTCGTATCTCGCGTTCTCGGCCCGTTTCCACGGATTGGAATTCATGTTATTTCGGGTACCATTATGTGCATCGTTGAATCTCAATTAGCGACCGAGCCCCCGAGCCTCTAACCAATGTATGTATTTACACGTACGGCGGTGATCGATCCACTGTGACTTGCCCCTTTGAGGATTGAATCTGCTAACAAGAAATACGCCGCCACGTCGGGGAATTAATGTTAAAAGGGGGGGAGGGGACCCGGAGGGGGGCCGTTGACGGAAACGCGCGGATATGTCGCAGCGTAAATAGGATTATACATCAATTACGTGCGTGTAACGAACAAGTAAACAGAGCAGCGCGGCAGAGTGATACGATTATTTTTATTTGTGACGTAACGAGCCGTAGTATTTTCGTCGAGAAACGTCGTCGAAAACTTTCGTTCGGTGTTCGACCCCTCTGCCGCTGGCAACTGGTTGCGCGGACCATAACGAGTGACCGAACCGTGTGCAATAATTTGTTACTTTCTTCTTCTTTTGAACTCGTCGAGGTACGATGTCATTATCAAGATGGAAATTATCAAGAAGTAATCAACTTATGGAAATTATCAAGAAGTAATCAACTTATCATTTGTTTTGCCTGGGTTACATTTCATTATACCTGAAACTGAGAAAATGTTGCAATTTTGGGGGAAGAAAATTCGCGACGTGCGTGGGGCACGTCATTCCAGCGCAAGCGTGCGAACAGATCGAAATTGAATAGACGTCAACGACGTAATTTTATTCCGTTTGTAGTCACATTTTATTTCTTTGTTTCGATTTCGGAAATTACTTGCGACAAAATTGTCCATGTCGAACAATTTTTATATATTTTCTGTCTCGTCGTTGTTTCAAACGCAAATCACGGAGAAAAATTTACAAATCCCGTTATATTTTCCGACACGGAAATAAGAGCTTAACTGCTCCCCCGTGTTTTATTTTTAACGAAAAAAGAGATTTTCTCCGCGTTCTTTTTGAGGTGAAATTTATTTTATACTCATCCCAAGAGTGAAAACTCGCCCCTCTACTATTTGGAGAACGTATCAAAAAAAAAAAAAAAAAAAAAAATACTGTATCTCGTACGTGACCACGGTAGGACCTTTAGGCATGATCTCGCTGATCCGTTGTATGACGCGTTTCAAACTGTTCGTTGTAACACTGCCTTTTGAATTTATTACCGTAGTATTAACACACGGCTATTCTAAAGTGTTTACGCCAGCGTTCGGATAAAAAAGTAAATTTATATCGCGATAAAATTTATCGAACGTACGTGTATGAATAACATCGATTGTCTTTTTTATATAAAAGATAACTTATGTCGCTCCTTAAAAATAGAGTCACCAGTTATTCGATGAATCGCGCGTCTCCGTGGAATCAACTGAATCATTTAACTTGCATTTCGATTGATTCTCTTTGTCCCCTAATTAACCGAATGGTTCATAATTTTACGGAATGCCGGCTACTGCGCAATATCTCTGGAAATTCATAGTTACTACTTTAGAGGACTTGTACATGCATATATTCATGCGATGATCAATCATATTTTATGCCGCACGATCTGTGTAATATTTCATTGGAACTAGTTACTATTTCACAGAATGTAGCATGCTCGTAATTCATTTATGCTAAATCATCCACTTTTCTCCTTTTTTCTTTTTTTTTTTCAGAAATGATCCATATATTCTCCACACGAGAAAGTAACAAATATATATATATATATATATACCACAAATAATTTTGATGCAGTTATAGTTGCAGGCGATAAATTTTCATATCGAACAGAGAGAAATGCACTCGATGCGAAGGTTATTTGTCAATTTGTTGTTTGGACATTGTGAAATGGATAGAGTAGTGATAATTCGTTTTCGTCTGCGTTCGTTTAATCATTAAGCCGCTTTTGTTTGGCGAAATTGCAACGTCAATGAAAGTAATAGGGTAGTGCATGACGCGTTGTTTCTTGTCACGGAGGCGTAATAATTTTACGGCTTCTCCCCCCCTCTCGAGAAACGATTCGATAAGTCACGGCGACAGTGACCACCACTTTTCTTTTCTTTTTTTTTTCTGTTCTTTTTTTTTTTTTTTTTTACAACGCAAACTAGACTGTAAATCTATTTCAAAAATCACGCGTTTGCTGATGGCAATTTATCACGTACTCTATATTTCGTAAGGTGGTAAGCACATTGGCGTCTTCTAACGCGTATTCTCTTTTGCCCTGGTGTCTTTTTGTTATTCCGTCCAGGTTTATCTCGATAATTGGGGGAAAAATGGGAACGTGCACGACCAAACAGGCTGAAACAAACGTGGCGAGCGATTTATTACCCGTTATTTCTGGTACGCGAGTTTCCCTTTTGCTCGAAACATTATCAACCACCTCTCGTCGACCGGCTGCGGAAAGAGCTTTGAATTTTAATTAGAGAGGTATCGCGGGAGAATAGTTTGGAACGCGTGTACCGGCTTTTCTCTCGATGGTTAACAACACGCAGCGATGGACGAAAGAAAGTTTGAAAGATAAACGAGATAAGAGAAAATGTACAGCGTCGTTTCGAAAGAAAACAGAATTATACACCTGTCTGGAACAATTTCCTGTTGATTATTCACTCTTGGTCAGCTCGCAATCAATCAGACTCGATTGTTCAACCTCGATCTTCTTGAGAACCAAGTCTTCGAGGGAGGGGGGGGGGAGAATTTTTTTTCCTTCTCGATTTATTTTCTCACGCGGAATCATCCCTCTGCCTTACGATAGATCACTGTCCCTGACGTGGTATGAAAAGTGTAATACTTAACCCTTTGCCCCCGACAAACTGTTTTCCTATCATCTACCAGCAATTTATTTACGAAACGCCACTCCGAATAAAATAACATAGCGTTGGTAATAATCATTCGAATGGCACTTAACACGAAATTTTGTTGATTTTCAACGTGTCGGTTTAAATTCCAAGTGTATTGCAGAAGAATTAATAATTCAATCTCTGGAAAAGTAATATCCTCCGCCGTTCGTCAAACTTTCGTCATTGAAATTAATTGTAAAAATTGATTTCATTATCGGGCGTCAATTGGCTCAGGACTGTCTTCCGAAGTTTCTTCTCTCTGAAATTCTTTCGTTCTTCTTCGTCGTTATTTCACTCTAGGCGTCTGTTCAGATATTATACTATTACACATCGAATCATACAATACCAAATGTACACGTTTATTGTAATTATCAGCAAATTATACAAAGAGCAAGTTCGAGCTGTTGGCTAGATGTCTTCTCGACCCTAGAAGGGACAGTCAAGTGCAAAGGATTAATAGATTATCAACACACACAGTGCCTCTCATTGTAACTCTCGATTTTAATTTAACAATCGGACTTTAATAACATTTAATTAACGATAGAAACAAATTTTATCATACAAAATTAAATAACAATTAATTAATAAAGAAAACGATAATAAACAAATTTTATTGCACAAAGTCAAATAACAATTAATAACAAATTTTTTATACGAAATTAAATAACAAAACGATTGTATATAAAAGGCTACGTAACGTAATGCAATTATCTTAACTCGAAATTGAAATTGAAATGGAACCTGCAGCAGCTTGCCCTACTTGGGGATTAAACTTTCTTTCGTCCGCCATCGTACATGTACAGAGATGTCGCGCCGTCGGAAATCCACTCTAATTTTGGCCCAGAAAAAGAAAAAAGAAAGAAAAAGAGTAAGAAAAGAAGGAAGCGCCCCTTGCGTGTCAGTGACTAAATCTTTTTGTCGTCCGAGGAACACGTCCACGAATGACGTCTATCAGCGATCCCTGGCCAGTCTTACGAGTCAGAGCAGACAATTTAGCACATCAATAACAGGCCGCAGATAAAAGCAGCCCATACATCGTGGCTGACGTATCGTTTGTAATAAAACACAAAGGGGGGGGTCTAGCCGCCAGCGGCATCTGTGTACCGCGTTGTGCAGCCGTTCGTTCATTCTTGCTGTTATTAACAGGCCGTACATCGTGGATGTTTTCTACCTACCATCTCCCGCCGAGTCATACATCACCGTTGAATGCGCGACAGCAAAGAGCAACTATAATTCATCTATAAGCTACAGCCGATCCCCCCCACCCTCTCGGGCAGAAATTGTGGAAGACGAAATCGATAGGTCAAACGTCACTGGGGAGGGTAGAGCGTTTTACGATGTTCGCACTTCTGTCACGTGAAATTGAATTTTCGTACAACGCTTTCGATCAAGACGCCGAATTATTGCTTTCCCATCGAATATTTTT